AACTTGAGGGGCTCTCCGTGGCCATGCTTGGCACAATGAGAAGATAAACAATAATTAAAATAGATCGAAACACATCAAAAATATTTATATCTATGAGTGCATTTAAAAAAATTAGTCACCTTTGCAGAATACTTAAGTCCCCACTAATTATTCTGAAAATAAATTTTAAAAGTCAACTTTTAACCTGGATCTTCCTATATAAAATGTACATCTAGGTAGCCGAATAGTTAGTGAAGCGGAATTTCTCTTTGTGGATGTATTTTAGATCATTATTAATGAACAAAGGAAAGCTGGAATACTGCTCTTCCTAGTGAATTAATTGTAATTATAGACAATTAGAAAAATTTGGACACTATTTGATGATATTAAATAGATTTTTAATTTTTTAGGTTGATAATGGCATTGGTTTTTTCCTAAAAAAAAAAAAAAATTCCTCTATTTTAGAGTCACCAACTAAAATGCTTATGGCTAGAAGGATATCGGGGGTGGAGAGGGCGTCAGCACAGCTGAGAGAAAATGGGCCAAGATTGATAATTATTGCAAATGAGCGAGGGCTGGACACACGGGCTGCATCACGTTATCGTTCTAGTTTCATGTAATATTTGAGATTTGTTCTTTAAAACTTGAAAGTGAATAAAAGTAAAAAAGAGAAATGAATGCCCCTTAATTTCTCAAAATATTGGGGACACATTACAGCAATCTTTCTGGTGTTAACATGTGACTGTGGGACACATACTTGGAGGAACATTTTGTAAGAGTTTTTAGAAGATTATCAAAGGAGCCAGTCTCCTCCCCACTCTACATACTTTATGCCCACCCATCCTAGTCCTGAAAAGAATCTTAGTCAGAAGTTGGCTTCCTTCCCCATACAGGTAAACTCCCATTTGCCCTGGGAATATCCCACTCTGATGGGAGCTACAGAAAAGATAATAGCAGCTATCACTTACTGAGCACCTTCTAAGTCCCAGGCCCTTTATATCTATTTGTTTTAATCTTTATAACAAGGAGGACATTAATATGCCCATTTCACAGATGAGGGAAGAGAGGCCCTGATGTCACTCACTCAGGGCCACACAGCTAATAAACATTTCACTCAGAATTTCCATGCTTCAAAGACTGCTCTGGCCCATGCACCGTAACAAATCCAGACTTGATTGTGCTGCTTGGGCTAAGTTTCTCCAGTCCCCAAGCCCACAAAACTGTCATAACTTTCCATGCCTACGATCGTGAAACTTTGGGGTGCATCACAGTTACCTGGGGAGATTGTTTAAAACGTAGATGCCTGGGCAGAATCCAAAGAAGGCGGCCAGGGCCAGGAATCTGCATGTAGCAAAAGATTCCATTGCAGATGGTATGAGAACAAAGATTTAAGAAACAGTCCTCAAATCCATCACCATCTTCAACTTCAAACCTGTTGTAATATGACCCTAGACTCTCTGGCTCCTGGCAGTACACATCCTTAAATGAAGAAATAGTTATTCAGCTTCTACAGAATGTTTCGTCATTCCTGTTCTCTCTTTCTCCAGAATAATATCACCACCACCATCATCATCATCATTACAGTAATAATGAGGGCACGAGAGCCAAACTTCTGAGGAGTCTAAAGGCTATGCCAACGTTGCCACGCCCTCCTTTAGGCGGGCCACAGTGAGCTAAATTCACATTTACAGACACTCAGAGCTGTGATTTACCATTAAGGTCAACAGCTCAAGCCTCTCGATACAGCTGCATGTCTACAAGAACTGAAAACTTCCCACGTGCCGAGGCTCATGCTACAGCCGCACTACAGAGATGACTAGGACACAGGCCTTCCTTTGGAAACCTTGTCTAGAAGTTTCTAAGTGATCATGACCTGAAGCAAGGCTTTGAAGTCAGCTACGCAGAGGAGAGGGAAACTTCCGTACGGTACACACAAAGCAGCAAAGTCCCAGAGAGGCCGGATGACCCGCCTGTGGTCACGCTGCTGTCTCCTTTTCAGTGGCTCACGGGGAGAATGAGCTCCGTTTCTTAGAGATGTATAACATCAAGGCCTCGAGGAATTAAATATTCATCTACCTGTGATCCTTCGAGACTTCCGCAGCCTCCCCCAGGGACTCCGGTTGACAGTGTAAAACTCTTCCCACAATCCGATTCATTTTTGCTCAGGATTTATCAGCCACAAAAATGGGTTTAACCTTTTGAGCTTCAGTTTGGCACCTCATGCATTTCCACCCTCAAATGCTGTCTCCCACCCCATCTGGCTGTGGCAAGACTCCTTCAAAGACCAGACATCTCTAAAATTAGGCATCGGCTGAGATTTATGCTGATTCTCTTGATTCAGTCCAGACTTGTCAACTTCCCTGGAAGCAAGCAGAACGTTCCATAAATTACTGCAGCCTTTTACCCACCAAACTATTTTTAAAGGGTGGTCTATATCAAATGCAATTAAATCTGAATTGTTGCCTCAATAACTCTTCCTTCTCTCTTTTCTCATTCGCTTCTGTGCCCAAGTGTATTTAGCTTGCAGTACTTAAGAGCTCAGTTGTCGCTTTTGCCAGCCTCTGGAGAAATGCAAAGAGCAGTGGCACTTTCTGTTCCCAGAGGTGTGGAAACAAAATCTCAGCACATCACTTCTTAACATGTACCCTGCTTAAGCCTATTGCCCAGGTCCTGTCTTTAGAGAACGCTCTGGTGTTAACAGAGATGCCAAAGGAGTTGGGCTCCCAGAAGTTCCAGGACCCAAGAGCTAACCCAGATCTTAGGGGCTCCATCAGTTTCATCAGCACCCACGCACATGGTGGATCCTCTGCTCCCTGACACAGGTGTAGCCACTGGACTCCGTCCCTGCCCTCAATGCCAGCCTCAGCTTTTCACCTCTCGGGAGTTCTTCCCTGTACAGGTGTAAGCGGGCCATGCAGAAGGAACCCCAAAATACCATCCCCTTCCTCTCACACATCAGAGAATGCTCGGGGTTGTGTCTCGGTGAGAGAGGATGTGTTTAATGAAGGATCCATTTTTTTGCTGTTTTACTGATGACAGTTTTCAAACCTCACATCTTTCCACATCTGGACAAGCTGAGAAGTCAGTCCGGGTGCTCCCTCCTTGAGTGCCCGGGAGCTCACACCCCAGCCCCACCTGGGAACCACAGTGAAATCCCAAGCTGGTCTCCTTTCCCTGCTCCATGACTTGCAAAGTCACTTCAGACCTGCCCGAGTGGCCTGCCCTGCTCTTCCCAGAGACCAGGATTATGAATAAACTTTTTCCTGTCTTCTTGGTGTGCAGGAGGCATCATTAATCTTGACATCTGTTTCCAGAGGTGACCAGAGTGATGTTTTTCCTCCCACTCGAGACCTCCATCTCTCCAAAACAGGTCAGCAAAGGGCAGGAAAGGCAGATGGGCCTCTCTCATCATGGTTGGAGACATGAACATGGCCCCAGATCACGTGGAGAGATGCCCGGCTGCAGTGCTGCTTCTGCAGTGCACTGGCCAGAGACTGGTCCTTCTGGCCACAGGCACTTCTGCAGTTAGCTGCTAAGTCCTGGCCCAAGCCTTCTCCACAGAGCCGGCCACCTATATATCATACCACTCTCTCTTGCCACCCACAGCCCAGTCCTGCCACTAGCTCAGTGTGACTTAATAAGATGCCCTTTCTCAAGATACTTTATTACCATCTACCAGAAAAAGGTGGTACTAGCCATATAAATCTAGGTTGATTGACACAGGAGTGGCTCCCCCTGGAGTTGTGCAATTCACAATCTTTAAAACCACAATCCTGATCCCACCAAAACTATTCCAGTCCTTTCCTGAGTGTCTGCAGAAACATGAGCTCACACCACACTGGGCAGCCTGGGCGATTTCAGATTTTTTGCCGTATACATCACAGCACCCCTGCTGTTGGAGGAAGGGGGCCAGTGTTGTATCTTCAACATCTCTCAGCTGAGAACTCACTGTCCCCTAGCTCTTCTCCATAGAGACTACTATTCTGACTGGATAATTCTTCATTGTACAGGACTGTCCTTTGCACCCTGGGACATTTGACACACCAGAAACCAGGAACCAATTATCAGAGGCATTCCCCACTTATTGTGGAAAGTGAAATAAGTGATGGTGTCCCCTGTCCCCCACCTGTTTGCATCTGCCTCTATCTCCAGGCTATACCCTGCAGGAGGGCAGCATCTTACCTTTCCCCCACTGTGGAACCCCAGAGCCAGCACAGTGGCTCTCTAGAGCACCTGGCATTTGAGTTGAGAAAGAGCAGAACAAACACCTGCACACACCTCCTCACCACCTCACTTGCTAAGAAAAAGCCAAGATGAGCTCCCGTCCACCACAGCTCTCAGGTGGAGGGCATCCACTGTGCCGCTGGCACACTCATCACCACAGCAGAAATGCTGGCCACTGCAGGCTCATCCCATTTTCTCAGTGATTCATAACAGGTCACCCTTTCCCACTCCTAGGGAAAGAGAAAGCAAGTGCCTCCTGCATGAAAAGGGAAGAATGAGGAAACCCGCGCTGGTAAATAGAAATAGCAAGTCACTCATTTAAAAAAAAAAAACTGGGAAAAGGTGTTGGATCAAAATTTCTGACTTATGTCCTATTGTAGTTTTCAAAAGTTCTTCAAAAGATTTCTATATTTATTACCTCTAAGTCCCTGGGAGAAGGGACTAAGGGACTAAGTTCTAAGGGAGAAGACTGGTGAGCAGGGTTGGCTATCTATCCACCATCCCCGTTCCTTGCTAGCTGACCCTGGTTTAATTCCAATATCCACTCTCAGAAAAAGTAACCCAATTCCCACCCTGGGTGTAAATCTAAGACAGAGGCTGGGGAAGTACAACTCGGGGCCAAATCTGCTTTGCCAAGTGTTTTTGCATGGCATGTAGCTAAGAATGTGTCAACTTGACTGGACTATAGTGCCCAGATATTTGGTCAAACATTAATCTGGATGATTCTATGCAGGTATTTTTAGATAAGATTAATTTTTTCTTTTAATTTTTTAAAAATTTCTTCCTTCTTTCTTCTAAAGGAGACAGCACGAACACACTCCCACACTACCACAAATTACTCAATCGAGTTTCCCACATTTGGGGAAATTGCAGGGGTCAGCACATCCAGAGTGCAGTGGATAAGCCTCACCTTGGGAAAACCACCTTTGTGATCATGGTACCTCCCCTGCCAGGTATGTATGAAATTAACATTTAAATCATTGGACTTTGAGCAAAGCAGATAATGACCCACAGGTAGGGGAATTTCACCCAATCAGGTGAAGGCCTGAATAAAACAAAAGGGACCTCCCCTGAGCTAGAGGGAATTCTGCCAGCACACGGCCTTCACACTTGAACTGCAGCATCTACGCCTCCCTGGCTATCCTACCTTCTGACCTACTCTGCAGATTTTAGACTTGCCAGCCGCTCATTACCACATAAGCCACTTCCTCAAATCTCTTCCTATTGCTTCTGCTATTCTGGACAACTCTGACTGCTAGATGGTTTTTATGTTTTAAAATGGTTACATAAGTACTTACATAAGGTCCTTGCTTTTGCCTCATGGTTGGCAAAGCCTAAAATATTTATCATTTGGCCCTTTAAGAAAGTTTGCCCATATTGGTATCTGTTCAAAGTCCATCTTCTCCATCCTATATACCCTGCAAGTGACTGGCTTACTGATGGCTTCAGGCTGGCCAGTCAGATAAAAGGACACTTCCTCTAGGAGCTTATGGGAAAGGCTTCTTTGTTCATAAGAAGGGATAACGGGATATGAGGGTTGGAACTGCTGCAGCCATTCTGCAGACATGAGGTAAGCTGGTCTGAGAATGTGACCACCTCACTGAGGAAGCCAAACAAAAAGATGAAAAGGGTCCCCCCATGACATTGTAGAGCTAGAGAATTACTAATCTATCTCGATAGTGTCCTTGCTGCTTCTGATAACCCAGGTGGAAAGGGAGAGCCAGAGAGGTTTCATTTCTTTGTCAGCATGTTTGGTTAATTGGTAATTAAGCTGAAACCAAAAGACTGGCTTGTCTGAACTGAGAGGACTTCAGTTTCTAGGAGTGAGACAAAGAATAGCTTTTCATTAACAGACTGAGAGTAGCTAAGTAGATTCTGTTGACTTAGTTCTAGCTAGTGTTTCAAGGAAGCTGCTTCATAGCAAATAAAGACTATACCCACTTTTCTTGCATTTATTTTAATTTTTGTTAAATCTTTAAGGGACTAATTTATTGATATCTTCCCAAGAAAAATAGTTTCATAAAAATACCAAGCTGTGCCCACACAAACAAGAAGAAATCCATCCCTGGCCCCACCATACTGGGCTTTTGTGTAATTATTCTGTTTATTTTTTTCTTTTTATTACGAGGAAAGATAATTCAATTTCACTAGATGCTGCTGCAAGAAGGTTCTAACAGGCAAGATTTTCTTGTTCCCTTATACTTCTCAAATGGTCATTTTCATGCTACAGGGTCATTTGTGTATCAGGTGTTCACCCACAGTGCGGCCATCCTACTGCTCTCAATGTACCCATTTCACAGACAGCACAGAAAAGGTTAAATGACTTTCCTCAGAGTGTACAAAGTGCAACTCACTGTAGTCAATGCCACATAAAGAATAGAGGCAGTTACTAGATCCTTCCAGTCAAGGCTGCCTCTTTTTGGCCTCATTCCTCAGAAAACTGACTCTGCCCTCCCAGAGGTATGTCTGTAGAGGCCTCACAATGAGTGATTCACTGTGACTCTCTGCCTGGTCCTCCACATGTACATCTGAGATCCTAACATAGATCCACCTTTGCTTTGTGGACTTGATTCTCAGACATTTTTCAAGGCTAGGATCTAATGGGTATTCAAAAGAAATTGACAATCAGCCCAGCTTACAACCATGGTTTTGTTGGATTTCAAATCATCTCAGAATCCTATACTTGTGATTCTGCATTGTGTTAGAATTAAGCCCATTCTTTAGAATTATGGGCCTATGGATAAAGAACCACAGATGTGAGCATGGGAAAGGATTCTGGTGATCCTCTGACTCCAACCCCTGCTCTCTATTTATTCTCTCTAGTTATATCATCTCTGCTTCAGAACTTCCAGAGCTCATTGCTAGAAAACTCTTCCTGACATTGGAACAAAGTTGTTCAGCCTGCCTGCTTTTACCCACAGGTTGTAGTTCTGTCTGCTGGGACATCCCTGAATGAATATATTTCCTCTTTCACAAACCAGTCCCTCAGCTATTTTAAGACTGCTATCTTATAACCCAGAATTTTCTTTCCCCTGCTAAACATCCTCAGTTCCCTCATTCCTAAACCAAGGCACCTGAGTCCAGATCTGCTCCGGACTCTGAACACTCTGCTCTAGAGATGAGATCCAGGGAGTAAAAACAATTTAACTGAGCATTAATATTCCCAAACTTTCCTCAAAGCTGAGTGTTTCCTAGATTCCCATGGAATAGAATGTTTTTCCTGTGGGCTCATTTCTTATGACCCTTTGGAAAGATACAAACTTAACTGTGCTCTTGTGATTCTATTCATTTGTGCCTATTCTTCCTGGAAAATCCTTGCATCTAAGTGTCAATCAGAATAGAATCAATTTCCCACACCAACGAGCCCAGTTTCCTTCCTAACATCATTAGCAATGGGACTGTTCTGATAAAAGTTGACTTTGTCTACAATTATCACCCAGCATCTGATTTCAGATGCACACTCAACATTATCACATCTATTTAAAAATAAGTAAATACTCAATTAAGAGGTGTGAACATTTATGAGTGAATTTAAAATTTCCATGCGGCAGAGGAAAGTGATCAGAAACCTCAGAGGCCAATCCCAACCAACACTGAAAATAAATGATAACATCGCCTTAATCCTAAAAAAAAGTCCAGAGTCACTACAGGCACCTTTGGGTGATGATTGTGAGCCAATAATTAGTCAATCAACAATAATTTTTGAGGACTGACTTACTCTATGCTGTGCGACATAATACCTTGGAGTGAAGTCAGCACTTAAGCAAATCTGACCCAAGCCTAGTCTGGAGTTTGTCATCTGGTTGTGGAGCTAAGGACACGCCTTGGCACCATGAAGACATACCCACTAAGTACTAGCCCATGGGGCAGATCACGAGTACAGAAGTCTCGTGAAAGGAGGAAGAGCTGACAACCAGCGCGTACTGTGTGCTCACGGCGCTGCAGACACTCTTTCTATTACACCTTCCAGCAGCTTGAATTGAGAACCCCTGGCCCACACGGGGATGAGAGAAATGAGTAAATGCAAGATGGCAATACATGCTCTTGGTCAAGCCTTCCTAGAACAGGAGAGGGAAAGACCCCCAAACAAAACTACAGAGTTAAAAACTTCCCCTCGTGAGTAGCTCCCAGAGCTACAAAGATGACGCTGAACAATGAACTTCTGAGCAGGGAATAGGGAAGGTGGAAGAGAGGGCGGATGAGCAGGTGAGGTGAGCAGAGGGTCTGAGTGCGTGTGGGTGGCACCAGGCTGGGGATGCCCAGGGAAACCCCCACACACACCTGCTTAAAGAGAGGATGATGTCTTTGGCAACGTGAGGGGGTCAGTACGGGCCAGCTCAGGGGCCCTAAGCTCTCCCTCCAAAAGCCACAGCTGCCACCATTCTTGGCCTTCAGAGTTCCTGGGGACATTATAGTCCTAGAAAATTACAGACCGTGCTCTTGTATCAGCTTGGGAATAGGTGCAGGCTTCCAGAGCTCAGTGCGGGCTCTTCCCACCCAGTCACACCCTCTGCCGAACGGGTTTCTGCTCAGCGTTTCCCCTGCCCCCTCCCACGCTCTCAGTTTCTCGAGCACAGGAGGGGCTTGCGGCGCCCTGTCTGCACACCGCAGTCAACAGCACCTTGTAGTCATACAAAAGCCTGTTACGCTGCCACAGCTCAAAACTCACATGGGAAGGGAAATTAGCTTTGTGCTTAAGTAGCTATAAATAAAAGCCCCAAACTAGTGAAAGTTTCTAGATCTCCTTTTTATTTAAATGTTCCTCATTTATATGCAACCAATTCACAAAAGCCCACACACCAATCTGTAACGCACCTGGCCTTGTGAGAAGTTGCCAGTTTGGTGCTGTCGTGTTTTTTTCCCCCACAATAAAAACTGCACAAGTTCACGTCCTGAGGGTACAATAGTCACTTTTCCTTTCTCCCCCCCCCAAAAAGAATCCCCAAACAAATAGGTTTATAAAATACATTGAATGAAGCAGGCTCTATTCCTGATCTTGTAGCAATGCCTGTCCAGGTACATTTTAGAGAGTGGGGATGTCTAACAGCGCTGTCTGGTGTAGCCTGTACCACATGTGAACCTTCTCGAAATCAGTGCTAATCTGCTACACACCATAGCAAAGTACTGCAGACCGTGGCTTAAACAGTAGGCATTCATTTCTTCACAGTTTCGGAGGCCAGAAGTCTGAAATCACAGGGTTTGCCCCTTCAGAGGCCCCTCTCCGTGGCCAGTAGATGGCTACCCCTTGTGTGCTTCCTTCCCTCTGCACATCTGTGTCCTAATCTCTTCTTACAAGATCACTAGCTGTATTGGAATAGGGCCACTCTCATGGTCTCATTTTAACCCGATTGCCTCTTTAAAGACCTTACCTCCAAAGGCAGGCGTATTCTAAGGTGCTGAGAGTCAGGACTTTAGCCCATAAATTTGAGGAGACACACAATTCAGTGTCCATACCACTCAGGCCTCTGCCTTACCCCCAAATTCATGACCTCATATACAAAATACATTCACACCCGCCAACAGCCCCTCCTTCCCACCGTCAACGCTAAGACTTCTACCTGGAGCAGCTTTTAGGGCAGGAACTTGAAGAGACAGAGAGACATTAAAATCACTTGCCATTCTCACTCTAGACCAGGGGTCCTCAAACTTTTTAAGCAGGGGTCCAGTTCACTGTCCCTCAGACTGTTGGAGGGCCGGATTGCAGGCCCCGGGACAAGTCAGCTGTTAAGCAGGACAGGCAATGGCAGCAAAAACACCCAGCAGGCCAGATAAATGTCCTAGGGCCACAGTTTGAGGATGCCTGCTCTAGACTGATGTATAGGCCTGGCTTCTAGCACTAGAGAGGGAAGTTTTGGTTAACTGGGCTGTCGGGAGAGATGTGGGGCTCTCCCTTGGGGCTCTGCAACTTGAACAATTCCAGAAAGGAGACTTTCTTCTAAGACCACTGCTTGGAACTTTAAG